TTTGAGATTTCATTTGACCCAGTTAGAATGGTTAAGATCCAGAAAACACTATATATGGGATTGCAAAGTGGTATAACTACCATGAAAATCAGTGTGGAGTTTCCTCAAAAAGCTAGAAATCCATGTACTACATGATCCAGCTATGCAACTCTTGGGCATATACCCCAAAGACTCCATATCCTACTGCAAAAATACATGCTCATCCAGGTTCATTGCTGCTCTATTCACTATATGCAGGAATTGGAAACAACTTAAATGTCTATCAGCTGATGAATGGATAATATGGTACTTTTACACAATTGAATATTATTCAGCTGTTTCTAAGAAAAACGAAATTATGAAATTCACAGGCTTGAACTAGAAACAATGATCCCAAATGAAGTAACCCAGACCCAGAAAAACAAATACCACATGCTCTCTCTCATACATGGATGCTAGCTTTGAATCTTTAGGTATGTATGTCTCAGTTGGAAAACCTGTAGAGGTCAGAAAACCTGTTAGGGGTCATGGGGAGAGCTTTCTGGGAGGGGAAAGATAATGCAATGATATAAAATGGTAAGACACAGCCGGGCGTGGTGGCTCACGCCTTTAATCCCAGCACTCGGGAGGCAGAGGCAGGCGAATTTCTGTGAGTTTAAGGCCAGCCTGGTCTACATAGTGAGTTCCAGGACAGCTGGGGCTACAGGGAGACCCTGTCTCAAAAAGACCAAAAATAAATAAATAAATGAAATTGTAAGACAATAATAATGGATTGGGAAGGGTTAAATGGGGTGTCATGTCTTTTTCATGAACTGTTCACTTTATTAATATGTACGGACCTTCTTTATCTCTTCTGATCAATTTTTGTTTAAAGTCTAATTTCTCATATATCAAAATATCTGTGCTGGTTTCTGTTTGATTTCCATTTACTTGATAGACTGACTTCCATTCTTGAACTCTTTTCTATTTTAAATATTTTTATTGATTTTTAAGAATTTCATTCAATGTGTTTTTATCATATTCCGACCCCGCCATCTGCTCTCAGATTCACTCCCACCTTCCTATCCCCCTCACCTCATGTCCTCTACTATTTTTTCCCTTCCTTTTCCAGTTGTTATTGTTACACACACCACACACACACACACATACACACACACACACACAATATGCACTGAGTCCATTTAGTGGTGCTCATGTGTATCTGCATTTAGGGCTGCCCACTTGGAATTAGAAAACCTCTCTGATAGCTAGTCCTTGGAGAAAATTGATTCTCCCTCCTTCAGCATCCATTGATTGCCTGTAGCTCTTCATCTTGAGGTTTGATCCTGTGAAACTTCCTCCATCCAACTTGGCATGTCAACTGGTTTTATCATTATGCGGATCTTGTTAAATGACCGTACTGTGGACCTTTCATTGGTGCAGCTTCCCCATCATGTCTAGAATGCGTTGTCTAGCAACAGCTATGTTATCCCCTTGGCTCTTAATCTTTCTGTTCCTGAGCTTTAGTTGTGGCGGCTTCATTGTGGATTCATCAGTTAGGGCTGGGCACCTCACAGTCACATATTCTCTGTATTTGTTCAGTTGTGAAATTTATAGCCTCTATCTGTTTCAAAAAGAAGCTTCTTTGATGAGTGATGAGAAGTACACTTGTCTGTAAATACAAGGATATGTACTTAGAATATAGTAAGACGGGCTGCAGCGATGGCTCAGGGGTTAAGAGCACTGGTTGCTCTTGCATAAGACTCAGGTTCAGTTCCCAGCACCCACATGGTGGCTAAAAACCACCTGTAACTCCAGTTCTAGGGACAGGGAATCTGACACCATCTTCTGGCCTCTTCAGGCATTTCACAGCATGGGTTCACTTATACACATGCAGACAAAAAAAATCACACATAAAATATAAAAATAAATAAGAATGTTGTAAGAAGTCGTGTTGGTCTATGGAAATAACAGAAGTTCTTCACCAGATTCTATGACCTCTCCAACCATGGGCACTTGGCTATGTTTACAGTACCACTCATGAATTCCCTCCTATTGAGCAGGTCTTAAGTCCAATTAGACTTTTTTCAATTACCCTTAAGATAAAAGTGACACAATTGCACCAATAGAGAAAATTGGCTGGGTCAGTCATTGTCATCCATAGGCTTTACAGCTAGGTTGGACCATTGATTTGTTTTCTCCCTTGACAGCTTCCAGAGTATCATCTCATACTATGAGAGCTAGTCTTCAGGGAGGAGGCTTCTAGGTCAGGTTCAGCTCAATTTCTCCAAGTTCTGCATTCAAAGTATGTTATATCTTCAGCAATAGGGTCTTATCTTCAAGCTCTGAGAGGCAAACAAGGTCTGTGGCAATAGTCTGAGATAGTTTGGGAATCTCTTGGACTACCCTGACCAACAACTCAAAGAAACATTTCCCGTGCCTGGCCCTGTGATTTTTGTTATACAGCCTTCAGCTGTACATACACACTTACACGTGTTATGTGTGCGTTTCAGTGGGCTCATTAAAACAATGTTTCCCTTTGGATTTTCATACCACATGTACATTATTTCTCTCTCTCTTCTCTCTCTCACCCTGTATAGATCTCCCTCCTCCTTCCCCATTCTTCCCCCATTTAAAGTAAGCCCTATTTCCCTATTTCTCACTTGTATTATCTCCCTCCTGAGCTCTTACTCCTCCCCCCATACATTTTACTTTTGTATTTTCCTGGCTTTTGTGGTTACATCAGGATTTGGAGCTAGAATCAACAAATGTGTTGTTTCTTATTCTGAGTCTTGGTTACTTCATGTAGTATAACAGTTTCTAGTTCTATCCATTGAACTGCAAATTTCAAGATTTCTTTTTCCTTTACCACTGAATAGAACCCCATTGTATAAATGTACCACATTTTCATTCTCCACTCATCAGCTGAGAGACATTTAGGTTGTTTCCATTTCCTAGCTATTGTGAAAAGAGCATTAATAAACATGCCTGTGCAAGTATCTTTGCAGAAGGACACTGAATCCTTTGGTTATATGCCAAGGAGTGGTATAGCTGGATCATTTGGTAAATCTATTATTAGTTTTTAAAGAGTTCTCTACACTAACTTCCATGGCTGTACCAGTGACTATGCCAGTTTGCAATCCTGCCAGCAGTGAATGAGGGTTCCCTATAATTTGTAGATTTGATCTTCTCATGGTGTCCCACAGTTCCTCCATATTCCATGCCTGTGGGTTTTTTTAAATCACATTCTTTGCCTGAGTTATCTAATTCTCCTATTGCATCTTCAAGCCTTGATACTCCATTTTCCATCTGATTAATTCTGCTGGCAGCTCTTTCCCTGTCCTTTCTAATTGCCTTATTGAGTTTTTCAAGTCTATTTTCATCCCAGCTCGAGTTGTCTTTGCTATTTCTCTTTCATGAATTCACTCTTCAAATCCTGTATTGTCTTTCTCATTTCATTTATCCGTATATTTGTATTTTCTTGAGCTTCAATCAAGTTTATTCCTATCCCCTTTGAGTTCTTTGAGGTTTTTGTTTGTGTGTTCTTTCAAGTCTTTGAATCTTTGATCATATTCAAGGTTGTTCTTTTAAGTTCTGTGTCCTGGGGTTCTCTCGGTAGTTCTCATTGTAGAGCACTTTGCTCATCGTAGGGCTGGTGGCATTTCGTGGGAACATACTATGTTGGTGTTTCATATTATTGGTGTTTTTGTGACGTAACCTGAGCAGACAGAGTTTTTGGTTGGTGGTGTGTCTGATCTGAAAGTCTAGCCTGCCTGCCTTTGCTGAGTGGAAGTTTGGTTCTCTTTTTCTTGGTGTTGTTGCTTGGTTCACTTCTGATCAGGTATGAGCTGTTAGTTGGTATGTGCTTTGGGTTCTCAATTTTGATTTCTTTATTGCACAGGAGTGGTTCCAGGCCGGTCTGGTGTGTGAGGCAGTCCATCACAGCTAAGACTGTGAGTGTGGAGATGGTGGCAGGATGGACCAGTTCTGACTATCTCACCAGACTGGTTTGGGGCACTTGAGCAGCAGGTTCTGGGCCTAGTATAGGAGAGGGAAGATGTTGATGAAATGGGTGAGGTTCTCCATCTTTGAATTCTTGACTATGTGATTTTGCTAGTGAGTGGCATTTCTTAGAGACAACAGAGAGTCAGACTTTGTTTCTCAGTCCAGTCAGCTAATTTGGGTCTGTTTATTAGTAAGTAGAGGAAGGCCACTTACATTTAATGTGATTACTGACATGTTTACAGATTTCTCTATTTTGTTGGTTGCTTTTATCATTGATTGGATAACTGCTTGCTATTTTCTTTCTTCCACTTATCATTAGGGATTTGCTAGTTTGCTGTGTTAGACGTGAAGAATTGCATTCTATCTCCTTTTTTTTTCCTAGTGTGAGTTAATATGTATTAAGTCAACTTGACTGGGTTTAGGTTCACTTAGGACACACGCCTCTAGACAGGTCTGTGATGGTGTTTTCTGAGAAGTTCAAATGAGGAAACAAGTCCGACTCAGAATGTGAGCGGTGACATCCCAGGGGCTGAGGTTGTGGACTGAATAAAATGAGAAAGGGAATGGAGCACCAGCACTGAGCTCTCTGCCTCCTACCTGCAGATGCAACGTGACCAGCCTCCTCACACTCCTGCCACTAGAGCTAAAGCTTTTCTGGCCAATGTGTCTTTGTCACTATAGTGAGCAGCAGCTCCAAACCAGGATCCAGAATAAACCCTTTCTGTCTTAAGCTGCCTTTTCCAGGTCTTTTGTCACAGCGATGAAAAGTAATAATTGATCTATTCCTCTCATTCATTCTTTCCTGCATTTTACATACGGAAACTTCTTTTCTGTGTGTCTTCCTTTAAATATCATCTATAGTGCTGACTTATAAAACTTTATTTATAACATCCCACTCTCAGGTAGCTTTTTTATTGCAACAACACAAAGCTTTATTTCTTTGTTTTCATACTGGCAAGCACTTAACTCTCCATAACAGGAAGAGCTGTGAGAATCATGGAAGAATGGGAGCCCAGTTATCCAAGCATCAGATGGTAGTCCACGTGTCTTTTCTGATTTGTCTAGAAAGAGCAGAGATAAAAGCAGATGAAAACCATGCTGGGGACATGGCTTGGGGTCCCAGGGTCACTGTGCTCTGAATCCTCCTAGGTATTCTGTTCCCAAGAAAACTGAGACGGAATTTGGGACTGAGCATCAGTGATGCTATGTAAGTCAAGTAAGAAATCATAATCTCACAATCCCTTACTTCATATTTTAAAGTGTAGTAGGAAATGCTTGGTAACTATCAGGTATGAAAATGGATGATCGTTAGTAAGTATAAGAAACCATTCAGTACTGTTTGAGGAGCTTAGAGTTCATCTTTGCAAATGTTTTCATTTCAGGAAAGCGGGATGCCCACCCATGCAACGAATAGTGCATTTTCTGAGGATAGGGCAGTCTCTGGAAACTCCCAAATAATTCAAAGCTCTGATTGCAGTGATGTCTGGAGGTACAGACAGTTCTCTGACCTATCTAAGGCAAATGGTTCCACACATGGGCTCCAGGAGGAACCCCAGAATAGCAGAGTTGGGGCTGCCTACCTAATACATAGAATCCCAGGGCTCCACACAACGCTTTTGACAGTAGTAGAAGCAGCACTTTTTATCCCCTTTGCAGCCTCTATCATATCTGCATACAGGTAAAAGGACGAAAGGGCAGGAAAGATGAAACTCTGGGCAATATCCAGGTTTTGTTGTAACTGCTGAAAAATACCACAGGGTGAGTCTCAGGCTCTGATGAACTTCTGCTTCAAGTACCAGTGCCAGCTGGTTCCATGGACTCCTCAGAGGAAATGCTCCCCTACCCAAGCAGACCCAGGGACACTTTCTTACCGTTGTTCTTGAATTTAGGCTGGGCCATGTTGCAGCAAAGAAGGATGGTCACTGTGAGTAGAGAGAGGCTGATCAGCTTCATGTCATAAGAAAGTGTAGGTGATTGGGGAGGCCAGGTATGTTTATGCCAGCTTCACAAGATGACCACCATGAAGCAGACCTGTGGTTCACAGAATAGGAGAGCAGCTTGAAGCCCTGGGAGAGATATGAATTACCCTCTAGGTGTAATGATCTAGGGCCTGCATGAGCTGTCCCTTCCTCAGGGGATTACAGGGCCGGCCCCTTCATAATCTTTGCTTCATAGAGTATAACGTGAGTCACTAAGAGAGCCTTTTCCACACCATGCATCAAGACTGGCCAGGCATTCTGACTGCATATCAAGGAAAACTGAAACCCCACCCAGCATCCCCCATCAGCATGGGTGCATTTGAATTTTACCTTCATCACATTAACATTTAAATACCACCCATGCCATCACAAAAAACTAAGGGGGAGAACGGCCTCCCAGCAATATTCTTTTTATATTTACAAAAATTGTCCATTTGTATGAAATGTGGAGCTTATGTTTAAGGTACATAACAAATAATTTATTCTTTAATTTACCTCTTTTGTGTAGCAATTTCCTCCAAGATAAAACCTTCTGTCTTAGAGGGAAACTGAGTAAACAACAGGATGTTCTAAAGGAAGGTAAATATCAGGATGTCTAAAGGGAAGTGAACAACACCATCTACTGTTCTGAGTCAAGGTAAAACATTCCATCCTTCAGGGGAAATCCACATGATCAGGAAGGAGACAACTGGATAGCTTCAGGAAGTCCCTGAAATTGATGAAATTCACTAGGTCCCTCCCTCCCCAAGCATATGTAAGCTCTAAGGACTGCTGAGAGACACAAGTTAAGCTGTGTAGAAAAAGCAGAGGCCAACCAAGCTACCCAGAAGAGGTTCAGATAAGCCCAGTTGCCTATGAAGAGACTCAACCCATCAGAGCTGCCTGGAAGAAACTCAGAACAATGGAGCTGCCTGGTAAGGAGCCTCTCCAACTTGTTGAGCTGCCTGCAGTTTGTACAGTGTACTCCATGTTTCTATGCTGGGGTGGAGTTTTGGTTTTTCATATTATTACTTTTTTCCCCTGTGATCTTGGCATGTGGATTTCTTTTGTTTGTGATGCTGGTATGAAATTCAAGCCTTCCTTTATTGAGTTGAAGTCTGATTCTGTTTGTGTTATTGCTGTGTTGGTTGTTTTCTGATTGTCTATGGTTGGTCTAGGCTTCAGGTTCTCTCTTTTGATTTTATATTGGAGGGACCAGACAACTCTAGTGTGGCTGCTCAGGAGCCACAGGAGGGTGAAGCAGCCCTGGCTAGTTAGGAGCACTTCAGAAGCCTCAGCTGGGTAGTGCCAAGGTCTAGGGAAAGGAGATGGGAGATGAAAGTGCTGGTCCCTACTAGTCAGGAGAGAAGCTTAAGCCCTGGGGCAGTGGGAGGGACTGCAGATGGTTCCAGAACAGGGAGATGGTCACGGCCCAATTTGGGAAGCTCACTGCACAGAGGCCCAAGTCAGGCACCAGTCAGGTACTCTCAGAGAAATGGGAGCTCAGAAACTAAAATGCTTCTATAAAGGACACCATGATATGAAGAGCAGTCTACAAAGTAGGAAAAAAATCTTTGCCAATCATACATCTAACAAAGGGTTGGTATCTAGAATGCACAAATAACTGAAAAAACAAAATATTAAAAAAACAAAACAACTCAACTAAAATTGGGGTAAGGAACTAAACAAAGTTCTTAAAAGATGAAATATAAACGGCTTAAAATATTTTTAATGTTCCACAAGTTTAGTCATCAGGGAAATGAAAATTAAAACTACTTTGAGATTCCATCTTACCCCAGTCAGAATGGCTAAGAACCAAAGAAGAAACAATGACAGGTGCTGGTGAGGATGGGGGAAAGGGGGAACACTTCTTCACTGTGTAAGGAGTGCAAACTGGTATAACCACTATGGAAATCAGTGTAAAAATTCCTCAAAAAGCTAGAAATCGGGGCTGAAGAGATGGCTCAGTGGTTAAGAACACTGGCTGTTCTTGCAGAAGACCGGGGTTCAAATCCCAGCACCCACATGGGAGTTAACAACTGTCCGTAACTCCTGTTCCAGGGGATCTGACAGCCTCTTCTGTCCTCCACAGACATTGCACAACACAGGCAATACACATATACACATAAAATAAAATTTTTTAAAAAGCTAGAAATCAATCTACCACGTGATCCAGCTATGCTACCATTGGGCATATACCCAAAGCATTTTATATCCTACTACAGAGATTCTTGTTCATCCATGTTCATTATTGTTCTATTCACAAAAACCAGGAAATAGAAACAACCTATTAAGTCCATCAGTTGATGAATGGGTATGTTTACACAATGGAATATTAGTCATCTGTGAAGAAAAATGAAATTATGAAATTTGTGGGTAAATGGGCGGAACTTGAAACAATCATTCTAAGTGAGATAACTCAAAACCAAATAACAAAACTAGACAAAGATCAAAAAAGAAAGAGAATTATAGGCCAATACCTCTGATGAACATAGATGCAAAAATGCTCAATAAAATATTTGGAAAAATACTGCAAGATCATATCAAAAATATTATCTACCATGATCAAGTTGGCTTCATCCCAGAGATGCAAGGATGGTTCAACAAATGTAAATCACTAAATGTAATCAAACACAAAAACAGACTCAAGGACAAAACCACATGATCATCTCATTAGAGGCATAAAAGGCCTTTGACAAAATAATGATAAAGTAATGGATAATATAGGGATAAAGGGGAAATAGCTCAACATAATAAAGGCAATATACAACAATACCACAGTCAAGATCATATTAAATAGATAAAAACTTGAAACATTTCCACTAAAATCAGAATGGGACATGGATGTCCACTCTTTCCATTCCTGTTCAATATAGTGCTTGAAGTTTTAGTTCAGCAATAAGACAAATGAAAAAGATAAAGGGGACACAAATTGGAAAGGGGAACGTCAAAGTATCCTTATTTGCAGATGATGTGATTCTATACGGACCTATACAATTTGCAGATAGTACAATTATATAACAGACCTAAAAATTACACCAGAAAACTCCTAGAGCTGATAAACTTAATCAGCAAAGTAGCAGGATACAAAATTGGCATGCAAAATTTAATAACCTTCCTATACACCAACAGTAAACATAACTGAAAAAGAAGTTAGAGAAGTGAACCCATTCGTAACAGCTTCAAAAACCTAAAATATCTTGGAATAAATCTAACCAAGGAAGTGAAAGACATGTAAAAAAAAGTTAAGACATTGAAGAAAGAAATTAAAATGGATACCAGAAGATGGAAAGACCTCCCATGTTCATAGACAGGTAGGATCAATATTATGAAAATGGACATCCTACCAAAAGCAAATTCAACACAATTCCCATTAAAATTTCAGCACAATTCTTCCCCAAAATCTCGAATTTCACATGGAAACAGAAAAAAACAGGATAGCAAAAAACAATCCTCAACAATAATAGAAATGCTGGCGGAATCACCATCACTAATGGATAAATTATACTACAGGGCTATAGTAATAAAAAACAGCATAATACTTATATAAAAACAGACACATTGATCAATGGAATAGAACTGAAGACCCAGATTTAAGTCTTCACACTCAGTCACCTTCGACAAAGGAACCAAAAATACACATCGGAGAAAAGATAGCATGTTCAACAAATGGTACTTGTCTAAGTGGATAAATACATGTAGAAGAATAAAATAAAATTCCTGTTTCTCACCATGCACAAAACTTAACTTCAAATGGATCAAAGAACTTTACATAAGATCTAATACCCTGAATCTGATAGAATATAAAGTAGGGAATATCCTGGAACTTATAGGCACAGGAAAGGACTGTCTGAACAGGAATTTTATAGCACAGGCATTAAGTCCAATAATTGACAAATGGGACCTCATGAAACTAAAAAGCTTCTGCACAGTAAAGGACACTATCTTTCAAGTAAAGAAGCAACTTACAGAATGGAACAAAATCTTTATCAGCCATACCTCTGACTGAGGGTTGGTATCTATAATATGCAAAGAGCTCATATAACTAAACATCAAAAACACAAACATCTCTCACACACTTATTCTCTGTGTGACCAGTTGTGGAACTCGGTAATAGTCTCCATCTCTTACAAAAAGAAGCTCTTTTGATGAGTAGTAAATGGTATACTTGTCTGTAAATAAAAGGATCCATATTTAGCATATAGTAAGACGTTATATGTGTCTAGGGATATGACAGAGGTAGGGTTTTCTCTAGAATCTATGACCACTCCAGCCACCTGTATTTGGCTATGTTTACAGTGCCACACATGAGTTCCCTTCCATTGAGAGGGCTTTAAGTCCAATTAGATAACTGTCAGTACTCCCAAGATAAAAGTGCCACTACTGAGCCACTATAGTTTGCTGTGCTGGTCATTGTTGTGGTTATTAGGCTTTAAAGCTAGAGTTGGGGGGCTGGAGAGAGGACTTGATGTTTAAGAGCACTGGCTGCTTGTGCAGCACCCACATGATGGCTAAAAACTGTCCATAATTCCAGTCCTGGAGTATCCAACGCCCTCTTCTGTCCTCTGCAGGCATTGCATGACACAGATGCACTTACATATATGCAGGCATAACACTCATGGGGACATAAATTAGATTCAATAGGCCTTAAAAAAATAAAGGACGTGAAATAGGTCTGGGAGTATAAGGAGGATGTGGCGGTAGAGGAGGGCGGTCTGAATATGATCAAAATACATTGTATCAAATTCTCAAAAATTCAATAAACATATTAATATATGTTTGTATGAAATGATACGCAATAGGAGCTATAAGAAACTCAATCAAATGGAAGAATGAAGCTGTGACCTCAGTGAGACAGGTTACTTGAAAACATAGTCATAGTGGAAGAAAGAGGGGAAAAAAGAAGAAAATTAATAGGATTCATGGGACAGCATGAAAAGGCAAAATGTGTCACTGGTATTCAAAAGAGAGTAGAGAAAATAATTTATTCTAAACATTTGAAGAAAAGTATTAGAAAACTTTGCAAACTGGAGGAAAGATATAAATATCCACATTCAGTAGGTCAAAGTCCTT